CTACCTTATCTTAAGGAACCAAGCGCGAGTATAGGTTCTACCAAATTTTGAGGAGTGTTGATTGGTCCTGAAAGGCCACTCCCACATTCATTTCCAAAATATAAAAGGAGCTGTCAAAAGCAGTCGAGACGCAGTTAATTCTTTTTAGTTCAATTTGACGCAGTTAATTCTTTTTAGTTCAGTTCGACGCAGTTAATTCTTTTTAGTTCAGTTCGACGCAGTTAATTCTTTTTAGTTCAGTTCGACGCAGTTAATTCTTTTTAGTTCAGTTCGACACAGTTAATTCAGCTTAGTTTAGTTACGCGCGCAGTTAATTCTATTCTTCAATTCAGTTCAGTTCAAGACAGTTATTCTTTTATACATTCAATTCAATTCAGTTCAAGACAGTTAATTCTTTTATTCAGTTTAATATTTCATTTCATTCTTACATACAGTTTTGGTCAGAAATCAACTTGATCAAGGTGAGAACTATCCTCGCGCTTCCTCAGAAATACATTCCATATTTTCCTTTTTATTGTTCTGTTTCACTCTTATATTTTTCTTTTTATTATTAAACGAAAGTATTATATACATCAAATCGCTGAAACCTAAATCTCTGCTCTGTGTCTCACTCAATTACATATATTCAAGTACATATATATATATATGAGTATCCGAGGGATTGTTGCGACTGTCGCTGCCAATAGCGTGGCCCCCGTCTTACAGCAGTTCTCTTCTGGATATTAATAATTTTTGCATTATTTCCATGCCTACTAAAGGCGGACGAAGACAGCGAGAGAGGAAATTAAGGTTTCAAATAAAATCATCTCAAATCACGATCCTTTCCCGTATTCCGAAAAACTATTCAATACTTCCCAGTGAACATTATTAACCGCACAACCTAATCTCCGATCCCCGAGTAAATTGCTTAAATGCATTGACTCAAAATACGGAGAAAATCTCAATAAAATTACGTAACAGATACAATCAATTTCAGTACATTGACTGCGATATAACAATTCAAAAATCACATATTAACTCAATTTTAGTTAAATGATTGAATTCTTGTTTGGGTATCAAGCTAAATACAACAGATGATAATGAAGTTCTTAATTTTGGACAACGGCCTAACGATGATTCACTGAGAGCATTCATCTATTGTTTTACAACGTATCAACTTGACTCCGACAATTTTATTGTTACACTGAAGAGGACCTAATCTTAAGATCGAAACGTTTGTAATTGGTGATTGACATATGTATTATTTTTGATCAGACGTACAACTGTGTCGGCTCTCATTGGCTTTATACTCCTTTATTGATTTTATCTTTGGAGTTTTTTTCAATTTTAATTGTTTCCGTAGTTGTATTTAATTTGTTTTCTGTTTTTAAATTATTTTTTTTTAAGTTGTTTTTTGTACTAAAACGAACAATTTTTTCCTGTAATAAAATTACATTCGACAAATAATTTTTGTGTTTACTATAATATTATAACTTCAACTTGCTCTCCTGTAAAAACTACTTGTCAGACACAATTTTGGAAAAGGAAAAAGTTGTTTCTTTTAGGATAAAGTGTCATATTCTGTACTCCGAATTCGTGAATTTCGGATCACCCTGTATAGATATAATAACCATAGTGTATTATTTAAAAAATTATCGCAAACGTAAATAAAATAATATGTAAAACAATACCGTTACGGTTCTGAATTTCAAGGTTTACCAGTGAAATGGCGACAATCTCATTATAGCGTTCAGGACCCCGAATCGCACGCTAAATCGGGTGTATAAACGTAACTATACCATAGTCCTTTTACAAATAAGAGAGAACAAGTAATAATATTTATGATTTCATAAGTTACGTAACAAACTAGACAACCACCAATAGATATTATCTTAATAGATACATGTCAAACATGTATCTATTGAGATAATACAAGTCTTTTTCTCTGTATCAACAACGTGATTTGGCACATTCTGCATATTTTTTAATTAATCATATATGTCTATTACATAAGCATTGTTAGCAACTGAGTGCTTTTCAGTATACAGTAAGACATTGATGGATTCATACTCAGTTTTCACAGTGACGTTCTTCGATCGTACGAACATAATACAACAGATATAATATCATTTTCGAGTCAGTTAATTTTCTCACAAATGAGAAATTTCCAATAATATTATGATTAAAAAATTGCGAATAATGGATTATAAATCGTATTGTCTAGTGCAAATTATAGAAGCATAAAAGAAGTTTATAATTTAATATTTTAATGAAATCATACTTAATATTGACATTTTACGAAAGAGTTGTTTGTTGTCATATTTCAGATTTACGATGGTACTTGCGGAATTAATCGGGGTCTTCATTTTTGCCTTGAGCATCTTGTATGTTTATTATAAATTTGTGATATTTAATTTCTGGCACAAGAGAGGTGTTTTTTATATTAAACCCGTTGTACCCGTCGGAAATTTAACAGATCTTCTAATTGGAAAGGTGTCAGTAGGCCAGTATCTTTATATCTAATATATATATATATATTAACATATATAAAAATAAGAGGAACTTATTTTTTACAATTTCTCATAAATTAGGGGAGATCGGAGCTACTTCTCGGGATTGATTGTCAAAATGCTTATAACTCAAACAGGACATGGTAGAAAAATTTTTTTTTACTGTAGATTGCTGATATAATATTAATTTTTTATGTGAAATGATTTACACAAATATTGTATATTATATATTATTTATAGCGATTTTTAAAAAAATGAAGTTGGTGAGTAAATTTTTTTCTTATCATCTATTTTGTTGTCTGACAAATCTTTGACATTATTAATCGCGATATTCCTGTATTCATAGAAAATGACATGTCCTAAAAAATTTTTGCTACAATTAATTAATCTTTATCCTGACAAAGTTTGTGAATACAATCTCTTTTATTAAAAATGGCTATGTGGAATAGATTGACCAAAATGAGACGAGGTTATATATAGATGACAACTAATTTTAATATTTTTAGAGAATATGTACTTACAAATATTAATATTATGAAACAATCATCAATCAGAAATTTCCGGGCGATTGAGAGCAATAATAGCACAGAAGTTGGTGCGTTTGATATCTTCTCAATAGTATATTTCAATTCTTACATAACATATTGCTCGAACGTTTCAGCTCCATTTGAGTTATCTTTAGCGATGAAGTAACTACATGTGATGTTCTTGATTGTCATTCATGTGATGTATTAAATCAAAGAGTGCAGCAAGTAGAGTCTCTCAATTACAAATTTTTCTACTTGCTGCACATTTCGATTTAATACATCACATGAATTATAACCAAGAACATCACATGTAATTACTTCATCGCTGAAGATGACTCGAACGGAGCTGAAACGTTTGAGCGATACGTTATGTATAAGAATTGAAATATACTATTGTGAAGATATCAAACGCACCAACTTCTACGCCATCACTGCTCTCAATCGCTCGGAAATTTTTGATTGATAATTGTTTTATTATCTAGAGAGCTCAATTTAGTTTATTAATTTGTAAACATATTAAATAATATTTCATATAGATATATGTTTTTTATTTTTTATATAGAAACTACGGTACACAAAAACAAATTACATATTTTATGATTAAAATAACTATTTTATTCGTATTAATACCATAGTTACTATTATTACTCAAAATATAGAATTGATATTAAAATAAAAATTGTATTTTTTATATGTGTTGTCCATTACAAATATGCTATTGCCAATCCTGGAACGTATGACAATCAACCCAGAACACGGGATTAGTTGTCACATTTTCGCAGCTTCATTTAAAATTAAATAACTTATTTTTACGATATGATGAAAATTTACGAGTAATATTTTTTTTAATACCTAAAGAATGTAGATCCGGAGACACTGGTAGTGTCTCGGCGCTAAGCTATGGCACAAGACACGGACGTGCTTCCTTTATATATTATAACGTATATAATATTTCAAAATCAAGCATTTACTTTTTCCTAAAAATCAATTATCAAAACCTGTGACAACCGACGCTGGTCTCCCCTACTTAATTCTCAGCAAACAAAAATGAATTGAAATAGGTTGAAACGAATTTAAATTTCCAAAAGTGCGCATTCATAAACGTTGAAATAAATCCTTTTCAGTCGTACTACATTTTTATTCGTTTACAGGAATTGCATAAAGCACATTTCTATATCTTTTAATCTAAAAAAAATTGCATTTTTTAAATGCATTGGGAATACTGTTCAAATCAAAATTTTTATGCAGTATTTCAATTCAATTTTGAATCTGAAAAAGATTTTCTATCCAATTAAATTTTAAAAAAGTGAAAATGTACGATTGCTACTAAAGTACGCATTTGTAAGGATTTAAATGATTTGAAACTTTAATCCATTTTAATCCATTCTTGTTTACTATTATAAGTTTTTCTGTTGTTTTTGTGTTATTTACTAAGTTTATAGAAATTGAGTACACTGAGAACAAAATGCTGTTGATTTAATAAAAGTCTATATTACGGGCTGTCACTAACATAAGTGATTAATTCATGCGTATATTTTATTGATTATTGAAATAATAATTTATGCCTTTGTGTCAATAAAAATATAGACCGTAATATAGACTTTAATTGAATCAACAGCATTTTTTTCTCAGTGTATAGTGAGTTCGAATATTTTGTTTTTTATATTATTATATTTTATATTATATTTAATTTGTTATATTTAATTAGATTTATCTTCAGAGCCGTATTTATATCTTTATTTATATTATATAATTATACATATAAAATATTTTTTCCCGGCTAATTATAACTTTACTTTTATTTACACATTTCTTTCGAAGTAGTTCTTTTAAGTATAGTATACACATCTTTGTCAACATCTAATTGTAAAACATCGACAACGTATCCCTGAAAATGACTTTAATTATTATACTTCTTTCAATTCCTTACGTCATCGCGTTTGCAATGGCTGCGTTCGGCAGAGCAAGCAGCTTTGTTCTCGATACAATTCTTCGATACGATTGATCCTTGCTTTTGGTTCCTCATGGATCTAAATTTATAAACCAATCGTATTGAAGAATTTTACATTTGTAAAGTTGCTTTCTCTGCTGAACACAGCCATTGATTTCTTAAAAAATCATTATATTTTCGTGTACGTCGAAATTATCATGATCAGAGCAAAATCTTAAAATAATGAAATTACGATTACTCTGTAAATAAATAATATCTTCTTTATTTTGAATGTCAATTTCAACTCACTTTGGAGTTCTCCTCAGCATATATAGATATACATCGGAAAGCTTACACATGAAAAAGATTATGTCACTCATAAATTGCCAGAGATGGAGTGATGTTAAATCTGGCGATGCAAGAAATCTAATTAGAATAGAAGAATATGAAATTAAAAAATCGAATGATTCACTTTAGTTATTAGTAGATAGAAAGTGTCAAGAAGCTTTGATGCATAATTATTCATAGAATTACATTTGCTTAAAGAGTAAGAACAAGAAATCAGACATAATGATCGACAGTGTCCGTATTATGTCCGTACGTTAGGACATGTCGCACAAGTTTAAAAAAATATTAAAATAAACGAAAAGTCATATAGTACATATTCTTGTTAATATTGACAATATAATATTATGAAGAATATTTATTACGTATTATGTAATACAGAAGAATATCAGCAAGAATATCCATTACATATTATGTAATACAAAAGAACATAAAAACGAACATACAATTATAATTAAGAAAATTAATCATTATAATAATTAAAATTATTTAGCATAATTACATAAGCATATAGCAATCCTTCGTTAGTTCACTTATATGAACTATTTTTTTGCATGTATTTTTTTGCATGTGTGCGTAATTGAGTGCTTAACGTACAGATGTAATACAGATACCGGCGATCTTTCTTGCTTGTCTGATTTCTTGCTCTTACTTTTTATACAAATGTAATTGTGTGAATAATTAAGTATTAAAGCTTCTGGACACATTCTCTATCTATAAAGTGAGTCACTCGATTTATCAGTGTTTCATATTTTTCCATTCTAGTGTTTTTTGCATTTCCAGATTTAATATCACTTCATTTCTGGCAATTTGTGACACAATCTTTTTGGATGTGTGCATGAGCATATCCATTTCGATGTTATTATCTATATAACTGAGGAGAACTTCAAGGGAAGTTGAAACGTTTAAAATAAAGAAGATCTTTATATCTACAGAGTAATCGTAAATTCATTATTCTTTAAGATGTTGTGCCTGATTTGGCATATTATATAATATATATAACTATCAGGCACGAAAGAGTTAAGCAGTACCTTGACAAACATAACATCATGGCTGTGTAGCACACGCACATATTTTCCAGACCGCCTGATCTCTTGTCTGTTTTCGCGCTTAGAAGAAGCCTCTGAAGCGATTCGCAAGCACACAAGGAAGTCACTAAAAATGCGACAAAAGCAAAAAAATGATAAATTATTTTCAGAAATGATTCTAAACGCTTTACAAATGTTGGTAAATGTGTGTAGCTGTCGAAAGGAAATACTTTGAAAGAAATCTTGTTAAATAAAGATAGAATTAGCTATTTCGGCATTAAAAATTAATTCCGAGAAAATGTGAATACACAAGTACTTATGCATGAAGAATTTTCATTAATTATGTTTTATATTTTATAAAATTGTAATTGCTACAACTTACAATTATTATATTGTGCTTATTGATCTTTGAATAATTATTACACATTTTATTTTTATTTTAATAAATTTAATAATTTATGTTATTTATTTCTACTTGAAACATGAAATTAATTAAAAAGTAATTTTGTTTTCAACAGGCGAATTCTTCAAGAATGCTTATATGAAATATAAGGATCATCGCGCTTTTGGAATGTATACGTTATTTAAACCAAATTTAATAGTCGCCGATCCCGATCTTATTCGAACGGTATTGACAAAGGAATTCGGGAGTTTCCATGATCGTGGAATGTACTTCAACGAAAAAGTTGACCCGTTGTCCGCCCATTTGTTTCTTATGCCCGGAAAAAAATGGCGAAATTTACGCGTCAAATTGACACCAACTTTTACTTCAGGAAAAATGAAACAGATGTTTCCGATTATGAAAGAATATAGCGAAAAACTTGCAAAGTGTTTAAATGAAAAAGCACAAATGAGAGATTCCATTGAAATGAAAGACATGCTTGCAAGGTAAATTAATTTTAAAGAAATTGATATTAAAATAAAATTTTTTTAACAACAAAAGTAGAATCTCATTTAATGTAAAAGTTATTAGCCTAATAGAAAATAAAATTAGAAATATAATGATAAATAAACAACATATCCAAATTAAGAAAAAGTGTTTTGTCCTTTTGGCGTATATAGAATATAATACTTTTGGTAATTAATTTAATCTACTTGTAATATCATGCAAAAACGGCCGGATTAAAAAAAACCGTTTAAGATGAAAGTTATGTCAAATATCAAATTTTATCGAAATTACGAAATACCAATTTTATACCAAGTTGAAAGCAAACGGGAATAAACTCTTATGAATAAAGAAACATTGATTTTCCCATTTTAAAATTGTTGTGTTTTTTCAAAAACAAATAATATTCAAACAAAGATTCAGAAATAATAGTTATGAGAGAGTGGAAAGATTCAAACGGAGTTCTAAGATTTAAATAGAATGCTGCCAATAAAGAAGCAATAATAGATGTAATACAAAAAATTTTTTCATTATATAATTTAATTTACTGACAATCAAAAAATAACATTTTCGACTTTTACTTGGTTTTTAAATTTTTAAGTTAAAATTTTAAGTAAAAGTCGAAAATGTTATTCTTTGATTGTCAGTAAATTAAATTATATAATGAAAAAATTTTTTGTATTACATCTATTATTGCTTCTTTATTGGCAGCATTCTATTTAAATCTTAGAACTCCGTTTGAATCTTTCCACTCTCTCATAACTATTATTTCTGAATCTTTGTTTGAATATTATTTGTTTTTGCAAAAACACAACAATTTTAAAATGGGAAAATCAATGTTTCTTTATTCATAAGAGTTTATTCTCGTTTGCTTTCAACTTGGTATAAAATTGGTATTTCGTAATTTCGATAAAATTTGATAATATTAATTAAAAACTGTTTATCAATTCTATGAATAGATATTCGACGGATGTGATCATGTCAACAGCTTTTGGTATCGAATCTAATTGCATTGAGGATCCTAATAACAAGTATCGAGGCTACCAAAAAAAGATTTTAGAGATACATCCAATTTGGATTGCCTTATCTATGTTTGCACCGAAAGTTATGGATTTTTTTTGCATCCCCTTCACGGACCAAAGCGTCACCAGTTTCTATACAAATATGTTTCGAGAGACTGTAGAATATAGGCAATCTCATAATATCGTTAGATATGACTTCGTGAATCTGCTTTTACAACTAATGAAGAGGGACTATGTTGATCCTGATGATGACAAGAAGATCACCAACGTATCATGTAATATATAAATTATATAATTTATGTTTATTCTTATATTAACAAACTTTTCCACTATATATGTTATAAATATAAATTATTTCTCTTTGCAATTCATATAAATCAAATAAATTAATTTTGTTCTTAAAATGTGCTTTCGTTTAAAATTATATGATAATTAAATATGTCGTTTTTTTACTTGCAGCAACTGTGAATAAACTTACCCTGACAGAAGCGACTGCGCAAAGTTACGTCTTCTTCGTAGCTGGCTTCGAAACCTCCTCAACAACGGCAACGTATGCTCTGTATGAATTAGCTCAACATCAAGATATTCAAGACAAAGTTCGCAAGGAAATCGACGAAGTATTGCAAAAGCATGGTGAACTGACCTACGACGCTGTGTGCGACATGACATATCTTCATAAAGTAGTAAATGGCAAGTATATATATTATCGCACTGAAATGACAATTAAATTGACGTCAATTTAACGTCGAAATTATCAAATTGTCGTCAAATCAACTTCGATTATTGTCGAAATCATCAAATTAATCTCGAATCGACGTTGATCTCATTATCATTTCTGGCTCGGGTAGTACACTGAAAAAAAACTGATATTATTTCAACAGCATTATATTAAATGTAAATAATTCTATTCATTTAACAGCAATATTAATGAAATAAATGATATTTTACAAAAACAAGAGCATAAGTATTTGTTTCATTGATAACGCTTTTTAAGCTTTCACGAGTATATCTTCAAAGAGTTTAGAACGGCCTAGCCGTTCACGTTGGCATTAGCATTATCAATGGATAAGAACACGGCGATAACCCGCAAAACTTCTGATATATTTGTTTCGTTAATGGAGTTATTGAATTAATAAAATCATTTTCAGTTAAGATAAGGTTGTTGATACATTTTTTTTCAGTGTATAGTAATGAGGGGATAGCTAGCGAACTATATCAGTTCCTATATGTCTAAAACCTAGTAAAAAAAATCATCTATAGATCTAAAGAGTTCTTTTGTGATTTCTATTAGTACGGATTACAAAATTTTTCGTATATACGTGATACGGGATTTGAACTTCGCGATCTGTCAATTACGAGATCGTCGCTCTTATTTGGAACATACCCGTTGCATTATGTTATAATTTCACAATTATTTTGAAATAAAATTTTATATTTTTATGTAAAAAAATTTTTTAGTACAGGAAAAAAATGTATTATACGAAAATATCTCGTTATTTATATACTACTATGAATGTATGTTCATATATATTACTTCTATTTTGGGAAAGATATGTATCTAATTCGTAATTTTCTTTTACGTACTGCAGAGACTTTGAGAAAATATCCACCTCTTCCTGTCTTGAATCGCGTTTGTACCAAAGAAATAACATTACCTACAACAAACATTCGTGTGCCAGAAGGAACATTAATAACTATACCGATATTTGGCTTACATCGAGATCCGTCGATATACCCGAATCCAGATAAATTTGACCCCGAACGATTCAACGCAGACGAAATAGAAGCAAGGCATTCCTACGCTTATTTGCCATTCGGAGAAGGCCCACGAAACTGTATTGGTGTGTATTAATCCATTAATACTGTATCTAATTTATACTGAAGTTGATAAAATCATCTTGTTATTTTTGAAGTTACATATGCTTAAAAATGATGTTTTATTAATATTTAGACTGCTACTACACTGAAAAAAAATTAGCTAAATCTGAGTAAATATTTCTTTGAATTGTTGCAAATAAACATTTATTCAGAGCAAATAAATATTTGCTCAATAAAATACAATGATACTTAAATCAAATTAATGGTTCTTGTATCAAATAAATATATGTTTACATTTAGTAAATAATTTACTTAAAAAATATTTACTTAAATTTAGTTTTTTCTCTGTGTATATATCCTAGTAGCATCCTTAATAGTACAGAGACATGGATGCCGTGGATACCCTAAAGATGTTCAGTTATAAATAATATATGTTTTCTCTCTCCCTTCCTTGTTCTCTCTCTTTTTGTCTCTCTCTCTTTCTCCCCTTCTTTCTCCCTCTTGCGAAAATGTTTATAAAGGTATATTTTTAAGTTATTGATTTAATTCTGCATAACTTCTGCTGTTTTCATATATTAAAATAATCAGTAAATATATCTTAATGGGATGTTTTGAAGAAACCTTTGTAAAACCATCAAAATGTCTATAAGAAAAATACAAAAATGTTTCGCAAATGTCATATGTATATTACTAATTTTCAGGTTCGCGATTTGGCTATGCGCAAACAAAGGTTGGACTCGTGAGTCTTTTGTCGAGATATATAATTAAGCTTCACCCCCGGACTCCGGTCCCACTTATCTTCAGCGAAAGTAGTCTCATTCTCACAGCGAAAAGTGGTGTGCACTTTATTATTGAACCACGAAAATAATTGCGATATCAGATATCAAGAATGAAAATATTGTAGAACAAATCTATTTTATGTATCAATTTTTTTTATTTTTATTGATCTTGTTTCTATACATTATATATTATTATATACTATTATGTTATGTTTTATTATATTAAATGTGATAATATAATAATATAAACTACTTAGCGCTCGTGTTTCGTGTGAAATATTCGAACAAATAAATATTGTAGTCAACATAATTATTTGAATTTTTGCGGGAATATTTGATGAATTAAACACTAAACATTTAAATAAATTTTTATTATAACTAACACTGGCCTAGATTATCTTTATATAACACTTTAATTGTTGAATCGGACGATCATTTTGCATGAATGACTATGTAATACGAATTAAGTGAATATAACGGTTCCTGCATTTTTCCTCTAACAATACAGACCAAGAAGCCACTGTAGTGATTTTGTTATCTATAGTGATAAGTAGACTGCGGAACTTTATGTAAAATACTTAACTGAATGTTTTGCATAAAATGCATATTTTGCAATTTTGTAAATTTACAGATGGCAATCTCAATCTTTTTACTTCACCTTTTAATAACTCTTTAACAAACAATGATTGACTGCTAAAACTGTCCGATAGTTAATATTCAGTTAAGTATTTTGCATAAAGTTCCGCAGTCTAGTGATAAATATTGAAACTGGGTAACCTGTTAATTTATGTAAAACATAAAAACAATATATATACATATATTTCAGCTCGGTCGCGGTCGCTTGAAGGAGACGTGAGCTTCCCAAATGTGTTGTAGATTTTGATATTTTTACTGAAAGCGTCAAGGTTGAATGTTGTTGCAATCAAAGACAATTAATACCTTCATTACAAGACAGGTGGACTCCCATACCTCTCAGGATGCAAGGGATTGCCATACTGGGTCAAAGTGGTATATTTTTCTAGAAAAAAAAAGAATCGATTGTGACAAGGTTAAATTGTTGTCTATTTAATTTTAATACCAATTGTCGAGAAATATGATTCCCATACCTTTTGAATCGTCGCTGCGTTTAGCAGAGAAAGCAGCTCTGCAACTGTTGTAAAATTCTTCAATATGATTGGTTTATATATTTAAATCCATAATAAGGAACCAAAAGCAAGAACCAATCGTATTGAAAAATTTTACAACATTTGTAAAACTGTTTTTCTCTGCTGAACATAGCCATTACGGAAATCCTAAAGCCGTCCGTATTACCCATTAAATCATAATTTTTGCACATAACAATTACTTTTTTTCTCTTTTATAGATTCGAAAATCCTTTTGCAGGATTAAAGTTTGCGCATTAATATGTGTTTTGTAAGGTGGAGTTTATGCCAAGAACGGCAAAACATTTTACTTAAAATTTCAATTTTGGAATTTTTTGTCATTCGTAGCATCAACTCCACCTTACAAACATGTATTAATGCATATTTTATTCCTGGGGAAGGATTTTCGAATCTGTAAAAGAGGAAAAAGTAATTGTTATACAAAAATTACGATTTAGTCAATAATGCAGTTGCCTTTAGGATTCCCCTAAAATTTATGCTTCTGCTCATTAGGTGACTAAAAACAAAATTGCGAATATTGTAAAATGGTAGAGGAATTTTCATCTCAGTTTTTTATCATGAATATCATTATATGAGAGATTAGTGAGTTCTTTTTGAGGTACACTCTGTATTGTAGAGTTCGTTATAGGTTTTCTGTAATTTTGACTCTAGCAAAACATCCTACAATAATTTTTTCTAATGATAACGTATCGAAATTGTAATGAATGTCATGAATGTCATGAATGTCATAAATGTCATAAAAATCATAAATGTCATAAATGTTATAAATGAGATAGGAAAAAGTATTATATATGCATATATTTATGCATATATTTATGCATTGGGTACAATATTTACACATGCAATATTTTTATATAATTAAAAAATGTCTTGTGTGCAACATCGTTATGTAATATAGAAGCGTTATTCTTTTCGTAAAAGATACACTATAGCATCTCGTTTATAAAAAGATGTACTTTATTACGAAAAATATATTTGATACGATGAGATCCTACACTGTTTTTTTGGTAATAAATTTATACTGTAGCTTTATTGCGATAGCGTACCTGGAAACAGCTCGCAAATTCCCTCCACATGAGCTAAGCGCGAACGAGTGGCGTGGCTATAAATAGCGATCGAAGCGTGTAACAGCGTATGTCTTTTTACGTATATTATTTATAAGTTCTGTAGATACATATTTAAAAAGACGTGCAAGTCTAATGCGAAATTAATTTGAATTATTGAAGTTAATTTAAATAATTATAAGAGTTTATAAGTTTCTTTTTTATTTAAATACTTTTTAGTATACAGGAGTTAAATGCTGTTTAGTACACAGTAAGGCATTGGTGGATTCATACTCATAAGTTTTCACAGTGACATGCTTCGATTGTATGAACATAAGCTCTGTTTCGGCTGAGTTTTTCCTCCCAGACAACATAGAATATTTATGATAAATTATTGTTATTCATTTTTTAAAATGCTATATATAAATATTTTATACATATCTTACATAAAGCTTTATTCGAAATATTATTAAAAAATAGGCTAAATATTTTGTGTAATACTTATGATAAATATAAATAAATATTTTTTATGGGTACTTTTTTTTATTTGAATCATATTGTCTTAATAAATATTTTTATAGCATTTACTATAAGATTTACAATAAACATTTCATAATATTTATTATAAATATTTTTTATCTACGCAATCTAAGACAATGAAAATATTTACAAGATATTTAAAATTAAGTCTTATAAATATTTATAAATATTTTGTAAACATTTTAAAAATATTTGAAAAATTATCGCAAACGTAAATAAAATAATATATAAAATAACACCACTGCGATCCTGAAATTCAAGGTTTGCCAGTGAAGGGCCAGTGAGGACAATTTCATTATAGCGTTCTTAATGTTGACGTTTTACACAAGAGTAGTTTGTCATCATATTTCAGATTTACGATGGTACTTGCGGAATTAATTGGGGTCTCCATCTTTGCCTTGAGCATCTTGTATATTTATTATAAATTTGTGATATTTAATTTCTGGCACAAGAGAGGTGTTTTTTATGTTAAACCCGTTGTACCCACCGGTAATTTAACAGATCTTGTAACTGGAAAAATGTCAGCAGGTCAGTATCTTTATCTAATATTAACATATGTAAAAATAAGAGGAATTACACATACTTGTAATGTTAATGTATAATTATTTACACAATTGGGAAAGTTCCTCTTATTTTTACAAGAGTTACTAATAAATTACTCAATTCTCAGCAAACGAAAATAAACTGAATGTGTTAAAACCGATTAAATTTTCAATAGTACGCATTCGCAAACGTTGAAATAAATCCTTTTCAATTAATGCATTTTCATTCGTTTATAGGAACTGCACAATTCTATATCTCCCCATTTAATACTGCTCAAATTAAAATTTTGAATAAAAAATGCATTTTTTTCAATTCAAGTGAATCTGAAAGAGATTTTCCATCCACTTGAATTTTAAAAAAGTGAAAATGTATAAATGGTTTTCAGAAATGATTCTAAATGCTTTACAAATGTTGATAAATGTGTGTAGTTGTCCAAGGAAACAACTTTAAAAGAAATGTTGTGAAACACAAAAATATAATTATTTATATTGCCGTTAAAAATCAATTCTGGGAACATATTAATCCACAAGTAAATGCATGAAAGAAGAATTCTCATTAATTAAATTTTGTATTTTATAAAAATTAATTGCTACAACATACAATCATTAAATTGTGCTTATCGTTCTTTAAACAATCATTACCCATTTTATTTATATTTAATAAATTTAATAATATATGTTACTTATTTCTACTTGAAATACGAAATTAATTAAAAAGTAATTTTGTTTTCAACAGGCCAACTCTTTCAGAATGCTTACATAAAATATAAGGATCATCGCGCTTTTGGAATGTATACATTATTTAAACCAAATTTGGTTATCGCCGATCCTGATCTTATTCGAACGGTATTGACAAAGGAATTCGGGAGTTTTCATGATCGTGGACTGTACTTCAACGAAAAAGTTGACCCGTTGTCCGGCAATTTGGTTCTTTTACCTGGAAAAAAATGGCGAAATTTACGTGTCAAATTGACATCAACTTTTTCTTCAGGAAAAATAAAACAGATGTTCCCGATTATGAAAGTATATAGCGAAAAACTTGCAATGTATCTAAAAGAAAAAGCACAAATGAGAGATTCCATTGAGATGAAAGACATGTTGCAAAGGTAAATTAATTTTAAAGAAATTGTTATAAAAATAAAATTTGTTTAACTACAAAAGATAGAAACTCCTTCATTTTAATATAAAGGTTGTTAGCCTAATAGAAAATAAAATTAGAATTATGTGATAAATAGATAAACAACATATCCAAATTAAGAAAAAGTGTTTTGTCCTTTTGGCGTATACAGAATGTAATACTCTTGTTAATTTATTTAATCCACTTATAATATAATGCAAAAACGACTGGATTAAGAAAAAACCGTTTGGCATAAAAGTTATGTATATGTATATTACAAAAAAGTTTATAAAAGATTCAAAACTTTATTCAGTTCTTTTCATCACAAAAATTGCATAAAAATTTCTTAAACTTATTTATACGATGTTTACAGCATATATTTTTTTCATTAAAATCGATTCAGTTTTTTTCGAGAAATCCTACTTTTATTTTACTTTCTCTCTTCATAATACAATTTCAAGGCTAATGTTTAGAGAAGTTGTATATCTCAAGGGTGGGAACTAATGACATCAATTTGAGCTCGATTAGGGGATAAATTTTACATGATTATTCTGATATGCCCTTTTCAATATGTTAAGATATTGAATTCATGACCACATTACTAATAATAGCTGCACATTTGTTCATATTTTTATAGATGATTTACTATCCTTGCGTAGACCTATTCAGTGTTGAAGTTTTTAATATTTGATTTTAATGGACTTCACACCTTTTCCTATGGATTTAACAAGATTTTTACTTCTGATCGATGAATTTGTTATCTCCGTTTAAATAATCGGAGTACATTGTTCAATTCTTATTTTCTATACTACAAGTTGCTAACATTTTACATGGCCTCTTATTACAGTTATTATTATAGTTTAATTGTTATCTCACTCTCACTTGGTATGTAGAATATTGATTTTGGGTTAAAAAGTTCATTTCGTTATGCGTTAGAATTGATGAAGACCAAGTAAAAGTCGAAAATGTTATTCTTTGATTTTCAATAAATTAAATTATGTAATGAAAATTTTTTTGTATTACATCTGGTGTTACTCCTTTTTGGCAGCTTTCCACTATCTTATGACTATTATTTTTGAATCTTTGTTTGAATATAATTTGTTTTTGCTAAAACACCACAACAATGTTAAAATGTTAAAATCAATGTTTCTTTATTTATATATAAAAGTTTATTCTAGTTTGTCTTCAACTTGGTATAAAAATTAAAATTGGTATTTCGTAATTTCAATAAAATTTGTTAAAATTAATTAAAAACTATTTATTAATTCTATCAATAGATATTCAACGGATGTGATCATGTCAACAGCTCTTGGTGTCGAATCTGATTGCATTGAGGATCCCAATAATATATACCAAATCTACCAAAAGAAGATTGTAGAGGTAAATCCGATTTGGGTTGCTTTGTCAATGTTTGCGCCGGGAATTATGGATTTCTTTTCCATCCCTGCTACGGACCGATACGTCACAAACTTCTATTTGAATATTTTTCGAGAGACTGTAGAATATAGGCAATCTCATAATATCGTTAAACATGATTTCGTGAATCTGCTCATACAACTAATGAAGAGGAACTATGTTGATCCTGATGACAAGAAGACTACAAACGTGTCATGTAATATATACTTAATTTTTATATTAATAAGCTTCTCCACAATGTCTTATAAAAATATATTATTTTTCTTTGCAATTTTGTAAACCAAATTAATTTTTTTTCTTAAAATGTGCTTTTGTTTAAAATTTTATCATAACTAAATATCTCATTTTTTTACTTGTAGCGACTGTTAATAAACTTACCATGACAGAAGCGGCTGCGACAAGTTATGGTTTGTTCCTAGGGGGTTTCGAAACCTCCGCAACAACGGCGACATTTGCTTTGTATGAGTTAGCTCAACATCAAGATATTCAAGACAAAGTTTGCAAGGAAATCGACAAAGTATTGGAAAAGCATGGTGAACTGACCTACGACGCTGTCAGCGAAATGACATATCTTCATAAAGTAATAAATGGTAAATATATATATTATCGCATTGTGTAATTAGTAGTCCCATCCAGAAATAACGGTCGTCCAGAATCAACGTCGGTTCAATGTTGAAATCATCAAACTAATGTCGAATCGACGTTGATTCTATTATCATTTCTGGATGGGATAGTACACTGCGAAAAAAATGATGTTATTTCAACATCATTACTTTAATTAAAAATTATCTTGTTAATTATCAACAGTATTAATGAAATAAATAAAATTTTACTGAAACAAGGACAAAACCCAGTGAGAAATGACAATGGAATTGACACTAAATCGATGTCGATTCGATGTCGAAATCATCACCAAATTCAACGTCAATTCGAAACCAATTTCATTGTTATTTCTCACTGGAAAGCATTTATTTCGTTGATAACGCTTTTTAGACTTTTACTTTTAGAAGGTTTGCGGGTTATCGCCGTGATTTTATCCATTGCTAATGCCAATAATGTTTCATGAAATTTGCCGTTCATGAATTAGCATTAGCAATGGATAAAAACACGGCAACTCGCAAATCTTCTGGTATATTTGTTTCATTAATGGTATTATTGAATTAACAAAATTGTTTTCAGTTAAGATAATGTTGTTAATAGATCTTTTTTTTCAGTGCATAGCAATTAGAGGATGACTAACGAACTATATCAGTCCCTATATATCTGAAGCCTAATCAAAAAGTCATCTAGATCTAAAAAGTTCTTTTGTGATTTCCATTAGTTAGTACGGATTACAAAATTTTTTTTTTTTTTCGTATATCCGAGATGCGGGATTTGAATTCGCGATCTATCGATTACGAATTCGTCGCTCTTATTTTGAACATCCCCGTTGCATTGTGTTAATTCCAATTATTTTGAAATACAATTTTTCATTTTTGTGTAATACAATTTTTCAGTACAGGAGAAAAATGTATTATACGAGAATATCTCGTTATTTATATACTACTATATGACGGTCATACAAATTATTTATATTTTGGAAAAGATGTATCTCCATACTTTTCTTTTACATAATGCAGAGACAATGAGAAAATATCCACCTATTCCTCTCGTGAATCGCATTTGTACCAAAGAAATTAACTTACCGACAACGAACATTCATGTGCCAAAAGGAACATTAATAACTATACCGATAATTGGCTTACATCGAGATCCGTCGATATACCCGAATCCAGATAAATTTGACCCTGAACGATTCAACGCAGACGAAATAGAAGCAAGGCATTCCTATGCTTATTTGCCATTCGGAGAAGGCCCGCGAAACTGTATCGGTGTGTATTAACCCATTAATACTGCATCTAATTTATACTGAATCATTGATAAAATTATATTGTTATTTTTGAAGTTGTCTATGCTTAAAAATGATGTTTTATTAATTAGACTGCTACTATATATCCTAGTAGCATCCTTAATAGTACAGAGACATTCCGTGGATGTCCTAATAAGGACGTTCAGTTATAAATAATATATATCTTCTCTCTTTAGTATCTATCGAAAATGTTTATAAAGGAATTTTATTAAATTATTGATTGAATTCTGCATAACTACTGTTTTCTACTGTTTTTATGTATTAAAAAAATTAGTAAATATACCCTTAGGTTGTATTTGAGGAAAGCTTTGTAAAACGATCAAAATGGCTATACGAAAAATACAGAACTGTTTCGCAAATGTCATATGTATTATTAACTTTCAGGTTCGCGATTTGGCTATATGCAAATAAAGGCTGGACTCGTAAGTCTTCTGTCGAGATATACATTTAAACTTCATCCCCAGACTCCAGTCCCACTTATTTTCAGCGAAAAAGGTTTCACTCTCATAGCGAAAACTGGTGTGTACCTTATTATTGAGCCACGAAAATAATTGTGACCTTATAAGACAGATATCAGCAATGAAAAATATTATAGGACAAATCCACTTTATGTATCAATTCTTTTGTTCTTATTGTACCTAATTGTTTCTGTATACTATATATTATTATACTCTTACGTTACGCTTTATTATTACATATAATAATATAATAATATAAACTACTTAGCGCGCCTGTTTCGTGTGAAATATTCAAATGAATAGATATTATTGTGCTATAGTCATAATTATTTGCGAGGATATGGGATGAATTAAACAATAAAAATTAAATAAATTTTTATTATAACATTGGCTTGGATTATTTTTATAGAACTTCAATACTTTTTTTGTTGAATCAAACGACTGGTACCATGGATCATGGATGACCGTGTGACGCTAATTAAGGGAATGTAGTCGTTCCTGCATCTTTCCTGTAACAAGTTTTATCCTCACTGTCTTATGTAGCGATCTTGCCTCAACAATATGTTAGCATTCTCGTTGTTGCGTTCAAATTTTTCGTGCTGGGCATCTATCATGGAACAAATTTGAATGGATTCCGATCGGAATTCTATTATGTTTTCTGAGGAAAATCGAGATTTTTTTTTTTAAAGATCAATCCAAAACAAATTCTGACGCTTTTATTAATTTTAATATGCAATTGCAAGTGTATTTTAATATTTGTGTTAATATTACAGAATTGTAAGGTAATTATGATAATTAAAGGACTTGTATATATTTATACTTCTTTCATAATATATAATAATATACATTATACTTATACTTTCAAACTTTAGTTTATATATTCATTTAAAATAGATTGCCATAAATTCTATATATAAATTTTCGCGGTATACTAAAAAAATCTCGCAAATATTAATTAAAAACACAGCGTTAGGTATTACAATTAAACAAACATTTTTTTTAGGACTTTTGAGAGTTTGTGCATATCCAATTATGAAAAAAAGAACATTTAAACTATTACTTCTGAAATATATTCAAAAATTTCTATGTATTATTGTGTATATTAGTAATATTTATTCTTAAAGCTGTTACTAATATTCGCATACATTATAATATTCGTGTCGATTTTTCGCTGTTTATATAATTAATAAATTTACACATACATACTTTTTCGCTTTTCTTTTCTTCTCCTCTCACCGCGCGCACGTACGCCTCTCCTTCTCTTTCACAATTTATAAATATTTATGGGCGGCATTCATAAACCGATCTTATTTTAAAATAGTCTTAAACAACATCTTGAGATGCTAACACATCCTTCTGATTGATGCTGGAGTGACCAAATTGTTGGGACATCGCAGATCGATATAAATTTTCGAATTTACTGAATGAAGTAAAAAATCCTTTTACAGGATTAAAGTAAACGCAAAATTGGAAGGTGAACTTTATACTAAAATCGAAAAAAAAAGTTAAAAACTTAGGTTCGGTAAACAAAGCAGTAATTGTGTCTAGCAATAGATGTTCTATCTTGCGAGAGATGGCGTTGCAATATGTTAGATAAGAACAGATGTGTTTGAGTGAAACAGAACGATAATGTAAGAAATGAACTAAACATGTCACTATTATCAACTTTTTTATTCGGAATTTAAAAAATCTGTACTATCAATATCGATCAAGTTCGACGGTCGCTCCAGCATCTCTTTAAACCTTATCAGCCCTTCTAAAATATAAACAAATTTTCATTTAATTCTCTACAAGTTTCAATAATTGGCATAGAAACTTAATCTGTACGAATTTGTCTTTGTACTACTATATAGTGCGCAAGTGCATACGTAACGTTTATATAACTGCTGGATAAAAAATAGTCGACAATCTATAGCGTTAAAGGACTTAATACTTTCCATTATTTCGATTATTTCTAAAACAGCCGATTACACACACAGCACTTATACGCACGCAAAAAATTAAACAAATATAATATATATGTATAAATATCAATTTTTACAGTGTCTAAATACGTATTTAAGAAATCATCTATACATATTGTAATCACATTAGATAAAAAAAGTTTATCCGTACATTCAGTGCTTACAGATTAAATTTAAATTTACTATGTTAATGATAAGATAAAAGGTAATTAAAGTCCGCCTGTTTGTTAGATATTATGTAAACAACATTAAATAAGATAATGTCAATAGAATGTGACGAGAAAAATTTAATTTAAACGTTAATCTTGTTGTGTTAATTTTTCAAGTATTATAAGCGGACAATCTTCTTCTTAGATTATAGTTCCTTTTCCTTAAAGATACAAGAGGATAAAAATCATTTTAAAGTTGATATATGGACATCGAATATAAATGCCTTATGAACTAACATTATCCATAGTGAAAGAACTGAGGTGTACACTGAAGTGTACTAGTACACTTATATATATATATATATATATATACTCGTCATACACTATATAAATGCCCTGATATATGAAATTATTCTACTAGCTGAATTGCAACTTGTCGAATTATAACATTAACATTGCAAGTTTAATAAGTAAAAGCAGTTCTCGCATCGACTTTTTCGAAAATTTTGTATAATTACAAATCGGCTATAACTTATTCTTACAATCGTATTCCCTACAATCCGGACTTTTCTAGACATTCATAAATATCTCGTCTAAAAGATCTGGCAGTGATCAGAGTCCTCTTCAGTAGGCCAGTGCAAAAGTTACAAAATTGATACAAATACTTGATCATAGATCGATAAATGACACGTCAATGAAAAGAATAAAAATATAAAGCGTCAATATTTATAGTATAAATATTTCGTAAACTTACGTATACGTAAGAACCTTAGATATATTATGCTAAAAAGTTGTAAATAAATCTGAGGATGAACATTCTAAGATTATTGACTTAGGCTGTACTGGTGTGACTGTTAGCACCGCTGATAGTGCTAAAGAGAGCAGCGCTATTGCGTTTGAAGCTTCCTACTTGCTCGTCTAACCATATTGGCTCCCCAAACAAAGATGACAAACTCTGACACAGTTTCTGATAATTCTCACGCAACACTTCTTGATATTCATGTTGGTCCGGTGTGATTAGTTTACTATTAATTTGTAATGCTGTGTAACATATCTTGACAAATTCCCTGAAATCGCAAGAAAACTCCTTGTAAGTGACTACAATATCGTGCATATGAGAAATTACTAAAGAGGTAATTAATTATAAAGTGACAAAATATACCTAAAAACATCTTTCAACTCTTCTACTTTATCATCGGGATATTGCGGAGATAGCGCGGGATCCAGAAATGCGGAGGCATAGGCTAAAGGACCGGCGTTCACTGTTACGCAAATGCTACCTTGGAGACGTAACTGCAGTTTCTTTACGTCCGTCGGACCGATCAAAGCCACATCTTCCAATTCCTGAACACGTTGCCTCATCTCATCCAAAGCGACCTCGATAGGGCTGAGCTCCACAATCCGTTTCTCGGCAATTCCGATGCGCTTTTTCACATATGGAAAAGCATATTGTGCTGCGAAAATAATAAGCATAAATTTTCATGTTTCTTTCTCAATAAAGCAAGATCTCAGATAACATAGGTCTGCAAAATTCGATTTTTTTGTGCTTGTTTGGAAAAGAAAATATTATAGTTTTTACTCGCGGATTCGGATTCAGCGCACCAAAAACATTATTCTTCCCCAAACAGCAAAAATCATGCAAACCTGTGTAATCAAATAAATTATTTGACATTTGATTGTACTTGTGAGAATAGTCCTGCGTTTCCATTGTTCCTCCGGATTGCCTCTCGCTTTGCCCTCCTTAGTAAACGGTGTCTCGAACATGAAGCAGGATACGTTGTGATTCTGCTCGAACTCTGTCTGTAGTACTTCTAACTCGATCTTCTCAAAGTACGGTGTGACATGCGTTACCTGAATATACGCTACCTTAGGATCCAACTCACTTACGTCAACCGGTATAGAATCCATTATCATCTTAACGTTCTCAGATCCGAACTTTTCGCTATACAGACGCAATAAACGTTCCGATATCTCAGATAATGATGTTACTTTGGGTTCCTTATAGATATATTCTTGACAATTTTCCTCTTCAAAGTATGCCTAAATAATAATACATATGTCAATTTTACCTTGTGTATTTCTTAATTATAAACCAAGACACTATAACTTTGTATTAGAGTATTTCTGTGAAAAATATATATTCTGCCGATGATGTATCTTACCATGCCAAAGAATGCTACTCTGTAGAACCTCCCGAGCAATCTCTTTCCAGTTCGCGTTACCTCCACAATTTTATTACAAGCTTGTGCCAAATGTGAGTAGCAATTAGCTAAAGCTTCATAATTTCTCTTCTTTTCATACATAGGAACTATTAAGCGATACAAATGCCCAAGCAATTCGAAACGCTCGGCTTTCTCTAATGTGTCGGCACAAACTTCCAATTGTTCGAGAAGTAAACTTTCGTTATAATGGATATCTTGAATGCCTGAAACAAAATTAACATCTCTAACATCTGTTCTCAAACATGACACACTGTTACGTCCTGGGTCGCATGTTTAGTATTAATGCGGTCTCGAGGCGCGACATAAAATCGTGGGAGCGCGAGCGCAGAGCGGGGCGCGCGGGGCGAACTTGACTTCGGGTGAGGTTCGTTTTTCGATATGTGTCTACGCGTTGAAGCAGGCTGCTGTCATCAGTGTCTTTGTAACAGACACGAATTAAATTATTATTTTGCTCGCGAGATATCTCTTATTATATGTAACTTATTTGAAGCTTCCTATTCCCTTATTATGGACAGTAAGAAATTAGTTTGTTTAGGGCCTTCTTTCGTCTGTGTGTGCTCTAAATCGAGTTATAATAATTTTATTCGTATCCTGGGGCCCTTTATGACCGGTGGGTGCATTCAGGGTTGCGCGGCAATGCATTGCGTTGGCGTTATGCGTTTTTATTGATTTTCCGCAGGTCTGCGGTTTTTCCTTGCAGCTGCGTCGAAGTCGGTTGTTATATTAGTTATTCCCTATCCCGTGTTAACGGTATTTTCGTGCTAAAGTGCATTCTTGCATCGTTTTTAGCATTTATAATTTGGCGCAGGCGCAGTATGCGCGGCGTTCAATCGCGACGGTTTCGGTGGCTTGGCCGATAGCCGTACGCGATTGTAGTAAGCACGTATTATGTCTGTTCGCTATATTCCGT